TGGGCAGGGTGTTCGGCCTCAAGGCCTTGGTGGCTTACAGCAACTGCTCCGGTCCCAACGTGCTGGTCCTCGATACCAGCCACGACTGGCCCGTGTACGTGAGCCCTGGCGTCCTGCTGCTCCTCTACTACACCGTGACCTCACTCCTCAAGCTGTGCACACACCAGCCCCTGGACCAGGTGGGTTTCCTGGGCCAGCGCCCCCCCCCCCCCCCCGGGGTCCTCCCCCGCTCCGGGCGGCTTGCTGGGGCGGGGGGCTGAGCTCCGTGCCGGTCCCCGCAGAGGAAGGAGGCAGCCGGGTACGACGAGGAGCAGGAGGTGGAACTGACTCACGTGGATCAGTGGTCTCAGGGCCGGGCCGGGGCTGCGGCCACCAAGGAGGAGGGCGCTGCCCAGGTAAGGAGCCCGCACCCAGTCGTGGTGCCGGAGCCTGGGCCCCCGCCCCCCCCCCCGGGCTCAGCTCACCGGGGCTCGGCTTGCCTCTGCAGTGCGTGCCGCCCACGACCACGGGGCCAGACTGGGAGACCGCCGACAGCTGCACCGTGCACGACCTGACCGGCCACAGCCCCGTCCGGCAGCGCCCCCGTGAGTGCCACGCTGCCCGTGGCTGCCCGGGGACGCCACCTGCCGCGGGCGCGCTGGTGCTGCCCCCTGGTGGCCGCCGGGTGGTCTTGCCCTGCTGACCTCTCCGGCAGTGCCGTCTGGGGCCCCCCCCCACCCGGGGCCAGGATGTGGGGTCCGGCTGCTGCCTGAGACCTTGCCGGACCTCCTGGTGTCCCACCCCCTCCCCACTTGCCTCCCGGGTCCCAGAGGGCTGGACTGCGCCCCGTGGGCTGGCCCTGCGGTCCAGGCGGCCAGCCACCTCCTGGGTGGATGTGCCTTAGAGCCGTGTCCACAGCGGCCCCGTGGGGAGGGCGGGGCGCTTTTCTCTTTCTCCTGAGGCTCGATTTCCATTTTGCGCGGGGCAGGAGGCGAAATCGCCGGCCTCCACAGCTGGCACCCCGGGGACTTGCCCTGCGCACAGAGCCGGACGGGAGTCGGGGCCATTTTGTCCGACCTGTCCTTTCACAGTCTTGGAAACCAAGATGTGGAGTGGGGCGAGGACTGCCCCGGGTCCCGCGACACGCCGGGGACAGTGTCAGTCGGGAGCCCGGTCCTTTGCCGGCGTTCTCTGCCCCCGGTGGCCACCGGCAGAATTATTGGGCAGAGTCTCCTGTGGGTGAGGGGCTCTGGCCTGTTGATGTTGGAACTGCCCCGGCTGGGGTCTGGCCCTCTGGTGACCTCTCACCCCCACCCCTCAGTGCACCCCAGGCTGTCGGAGCCTAGAGACGTGTCTCCCCTGCACGGTCTGGGCCATCTCATCATGGACCAGAGCTACGTGTGCGCCCTCATCGCCATGATGGTAAGGAGCGGCTGGCCTGGGCAGGCCCGTCCGGGGGGCCCTTGCTGCTGGTTCCCTCGTGATGTTCTGGGGGGCGGATGGCGGCCTGAGTTCTGCAGACCCTGGTGCCTTGTTGCCGGAAACGGAGCCGTGGCCTGCTGGGCCCAGAGCCACGCCGTGGGCGCGCGTGTGCGCGTGCATATGGGTAGTGGGTGGGTGCATACGGGAACCTGCGCCCTGTGCCGCGTGCGCGCCCTGTCCCCGGGCCGGCGGGGGAACGGGCTGGGTGCGTGCCCCCGGCCCACCGGCCCCCGGCCCCGCCGTCCAGGTGTGGAGTATCACCTACCACAGCTGGCTGACCTTCGTGCTGCTGCTCTGGGCCTGCCTCATCTGGACGGTGCGCAGTCGTCACCAGCTGGCCATGCTCTGTTCCCCCTTCATCCTGCTCTACGGGCTGGCGCTGTGCGGGCTCCGCTACGTGTGGGCCATGGACCTGCGTCCCGAGCTGCCCACCACCCTGGGCCCGGTCAGCCTGCGTCAGCTGGGGCTGGAGCACACCCGCTACCCTTGCCTGGACCTTGGCGCCATGGTGAGTACGCGCGGGGCCTGTGCTTCGCGCATGAGCACCCGTGACGGCGCGGAGTCCGCCGTCCGGCTGTCAGCACGGGGTGCCCTCGGGCCGGTCCAGAGCAGTGACCGAACAAGTGTCGGGGGGACGAACGATGACCCTGTGTCGTCCGGGGCGCTGTCCCTGGGTCCCTGACGCGGGTTCCCCTAATGTCACGCGTCCCTCTGGCGTCTGGCCCCGGGTGCCCCGTCTGCGTCCCGCACGCCAGAGCGTCGCCAGGTCCGGACGTCTGTGCCGGGTCGTATGTCGTCCCGGGAGCTGTGTGCGTGCGCACGTAGGTGCGAGGTCATGCAGGCTTGAGTATGCGCGCTGGCATCCACGCTCTATGCGACAGGGTCCTACCGTAGGTCCTACCTACTGGGGAGGCGGGCACCGGCACCGAGGGGCTATCCCCTGGGCCCGGGTCTTTGCGGGCCGGCCCTTGGGTGCGCGCGGGGCGCCGGGCCGCCGGCCCTTGGTGACACCCCCGCCCCGCCCAGCTGCTGTGCAACCTGACCTTCTGGCTCCTGCTGCGCCAGTTCGTGAAGGAGAAGCTGCTAAGGAAGGCCAAGAGCGCTGCCGGCCTGCTGGGGGTCGCCGTGGCCGACCCAGGTGAGGGGCCGGCCGGGGGTCGCCGCGGGGGTCGCCGCGGCCTGCCGAGGTGAGGGGCGGGGGGCGGTCAGGGAGCGGTGCGCCCCCCCCCCCCCCCCGGCCCCGAAGCCATCCCCCGGCGGCCCCCCCTCCCCGGCCCGGCCCGCAGAGCCCACGCGGACACGGACGCTGCTCCGGAGCCTGGGCGAGCTGGTCACGGGCCTGTACGCCAAGTACTGGATCTACGTGTGCGCCGGCATGTTCGTCGTGGTCAGCTTTGCCGGCCGCCTCGTCGTCTACAAGATCGTGTACATGCTTCTCTTCCTGCTGTGCCTCACGCTCTTCCAGGTAGTGGGCGGGCAGGGGCGGGGGCGGCGGGGGGGCGCCCCAGGCCGGGCCTCACCGCACGCCGCCCGGCAGGTCTACTACAGCCTGTGGAGGAAGCTGCTCAAGGCGTTCTGGTGGCTCGTGGTGGCCTACACCATGCTGGTGCTCAGCGCCGTCTACACCTTCCAGTTCCAGGACTTCCCCACCTACTGGCGCAACCTGACCGGCCTCACGGATGAGCAGTGAGTCGGCGGGTGGGCGGGGGGCGCGTCCCGGCGTGGGGCCCTCCCCGGCCCCGTCTGACCGCCGCCCCTCGCGCCAGGCTGGCGGACCTGGGTCTGGAGCAGTTCAGCGTGTCCGAGCTCTTCTCCAGCATCCTGGTCCCCGGCTTCTTCCTGCTGGCCTGCATCCTGCAGCTGCATTATTTCCACCAGCCCTTCATGCGGCTCACCGACCTGGGGCGCGCGCCCCCGCCCGGCGCCCACCTCCCGCGCTGGGCTCGAAGGTGCGCCCGCCCTCCACGGCCGGCCCCTCTCCCTCCGCTGCCTCTGGGCGTGCGGACTCGGGTGCAGGCTCCCAGGGGCCCGGGGTCTGCAGCGTGTACCACCAGCCCCCCCCCCCCACACACACCCGCACAGGGAAGAGCCTCATCCCCCGGGAAGGGACGGAGGCTGCTGGGTTCGGACGGGAGGGCCCGGAGCAGGGCGATGCCCTCAGCAGCCCCCTCGGACACGGCAGGCCCGCGGTACCCGGTGTTCCTCCGGCCTTCGGGTCACGGGGGCAGCACATCGGCCGGGCCCCAGGGGAGGCCTTTGTCCACCCCGGGGAGGGCGTGCCCCGGGGTCTGGGGCGAGGAGTGACGCCTTGGGGCCCACCCTAGGCAGGACGCGGTCAGCGGGACCCCGCTGCTGCAGGAGGAGGAGGAGGTGGCCAGGGAGGACGGACTGAGCGGGGCCGGCCCCCAGCAGGCCGTGCAGGTCCCCGAAGGTGAGTCAGACCGGCAGGCGTGGGGTCCCTTCACCCAGGCCCCTGCGAGCCCCAGGCCCGGGGACCCTGGTCCCCGAGCCCTCACGGCCCCTCTCCCACAGCCGCCACCAGCAAGTGGGGCCTGGTGGCCGAGCGGCTGCTGGACCTGGCTGACCGCTTCTCCGAGGTCCTCACCCGCGTGCAGGTGTTGGTGCGACGCCTGCTGGAGCTACACGTCCTCAAGCTGGTGGCCCTGTACACTGTGTGGGTGGCCCTGAAGGAGGTAAGGGAGGGACAGGGGCGTCTCCTTTTTCTGCAGTGGGGTCCCCTAGAGGCCGGGACCCTTGGGTGGCAGATCGCAGAGCCCCTGGGGAGGTGCCGCTCCATCCGCCCGCCCGCCCCAGCCCCCAACCCCCCCTCCGCCCCCCTGCCTTCCAGGTGTCGGTGATGAACCTGCTTCTGGTCGTGCTGTGGGCCTTCGCCCTGCCCTACCCCCGCTTCCGGCCCATGGCCTCCTGCCTGTCCACCGTGTGGACCTGCATCATCATCGTGTGCAAGATGCTGTATCAGCTGAAGGTCGTCAGCCCGCACGAATACTCCAGCAACTGCACCGAGGTGTGTGGGCGGCTGGGCCGCGTGGGGGAGCCCGCCAGGCCTCCTCTCTGTTCCCCTCCCCTCGCCCCTGCCCGTGGCCTCCTCGTCCCCAGACTCCCCGTCCCCGTCCCCGTCCCCACCGAGGTCGGTCAGAGCTGAAGGCCACACGCGTCCTGGGACGGTGTGGTCCGGCCCCGTCCAAAATTGTGGCTGGGGCGGGGGGGGGGGGGTCCCTGGGGTGGGTGTCAGCTCCCAGGTGGGAACAGGTGCTGATTCTCCCCTCCCCCAGCCCCTCCTCAACAGCACCAACCTGCAGAAAACGGAGATCAAGCAGTCCCTGCTGTACCGGGGACCCGTCGACCCTGCCAACTGGTTTGGGGTCCGGAAGGGCTTCCCGAACCTGGGCTACATCCAGGTGAGTGCGGGGCCGCGGGGGGTGCGGCCTGCCCCAGGTGAGTGCGGGGCCGGGGGCCGCGGGGCAGGGGGTGTGGCCTGCCCGTGTCCCCCTCCCCAGGTGAGTGCGGGGCCGGGGGCGCGGCCTGACCGTGTCCCCCTCCGCAGAACCACCTGCTGGTCCTGCTGCTGCTGGTGTTCGAGGCCATTGTTTACCGGCGCCAGGAGCACCACCGTCGGCAGCACCAGCCGGCCCCGCTGCCTGCCCAGGCCGTCTGTGCCGACGGCACCCGACAGCGGCTGGACCAGGATCTTCTCAGCTGCTTCAAGTACTTTGTCAACTTCTTTTTCTACAAATTTGGGCTGGAGGTGAGGCCCGGCGTCAGCCCTCACCCCTTAACCTGGGCAGGGCTGAGGGTCTGCGTCCCTCTCCACGGGGCCTCTGCAACTTGCTGGCCCTCGGGGGCCACCCGGGGGGGCACAGAGCACACACCTCTGAGGGCTGGACCCCCGGGCTCAGTCGGCGTGTCCTGGGAGAGTAAGCTCGGGGGCTGGACCCTGACTGGAGACTGGGTCAGAGTCTCCACTGAGCCTTGGAACCTCCTGAGATGTGGTTCCCGCTTGCCCCCCCCCCCCCCCCCCCACCACCACGGCGGACACGTGTCCAGCTCTCCCTGCCTCCACGACAGCAGTGTGGGCCGTGGTGAACTTGGGCCGCTGCCCCCACTGTGCTCTGAGCCTTCCCGGCTGGAGGTAGGACCCGGGAGGTCCCCCCAGCAGCTCACTGTGCACCCCGTCCCCGCCGCCCCCAGATCTGCTTCCTGATGGCCGTGAACGTGATTGGGCAGCGCATGAATTTCATGGTCATCCTGCACGGCTGCTGGCTGGTAGCCATTCTTACCCGCCGGCACCGCGGAGCCATCGCCCGCCTCTGGCCCAACTACTGTCTGTTCCTGGCGTTGTTCTTCCTGTACCAGTACCTGCTGTGCCTGGGCATCCCCCCGGCCCTGTGCCTTGGTGAGCCGGCGGCCGTGGGCCAGCTGCGAGGGTGCTCCCCCCCGCCCCCCCGCCCAGGGCCTCCCCTGCCCCCTTCCTCGGACCCTGATGGCTGCAGCATCCCTGGGGGGGGTGGGGCGCTGGCCACCCTCTCGACGCTTTGCATCCATTCCCTTTCTTTCCCCAACATTCTATTTTGAAACATTTGGAACGATCAGAAAAGGTGGAGGTAGAGAGCAGGGAGCAGCCAGACCCCGCAACCTGGGGCAGGGGCCACGCTCCACAGTCCCTCCCGCACAAGCCTGGCTCTGGCCTCATCCTCCGGGGGTGGCCCTGGTGGCTTTTGGGTCCGATACAGGACCCCGCGTCTGCCCTCGGCTGCGCTCTGCTCTCGCGTCCTCTGGTCTGGGCGAGGTTTCGGGAGGGGGGGCCGGTGGACCGAAGCCGCGTTTGTCGGGCGGTTCCTGCTTTGGCAGGTGTGGCTGTGTCCTGTCCTGGGAGTGCACTTGTCCACGTGGCCCTTCCGTGTCTGCAGCCCACGTGGTGTCGCGTCCGCCCGCTCCGGAGTGCGCCGCGGGCGGGACCCGTAGGACCGATGTTGTCCCTTGATCCTGGCGCGCTGGTCACGTGGCTTTCTCTCACGTGTTCCTCGGCCGACCGCGGGCCCCGGGGCGTCTTCCACCGCCACGGCGGCTCCCAGTTGGCCCCCGGAGCCCCTGAAGCCGCTCTGAGGCTTGAGCCGTGGTTGTGTGGGTGGTGACGGTGGGGGAAGGCCGTGGGCCAGATCCTTGCCCTGCGCGGCCACCACCGACCTGACCGCTCCTGACTCTGGCTTTTCCAGAATGTCTTGGAAACCAACCACAGGGCGCGTTACCAAACGCATTCCAGGTTCTCGCCGTCCTCGTCTCCGCCTTGTCGCCTGTTTTGTGTGCTGGCTTCTGACTTTGGACGCAGACTTGCAAAAGTAGCTCCCTGACGTGAGCCTGACGCAACCCAGTGCGGGAGCTCAGGTGTGCGCGCTGGTGCGGCTCTGGCCGCGGCCCCGTGCGTGCGCCCGTGTGTCGGTGCCGGGCAGCTCCTTGCGTCTTCGCTTTTCAGCACCTTGGAACTTTTGAGGGGTGCTGGGCTGTGACCCTTTGGGTAGTCTGCTGTCCTTGTGAGACCGGGTGACAGGGCCCTCTGGCGGCTGGGACGTGTGGGTCTCTGTGCCTCACACGGGGCCAGTGTCTCCTGTGCGGTGCCGTTGTCACTTGGGTGCAGGGCTGGCTGTGGGGTGTCTCCCCCGAGACTCGGCACACGGCCTGTTTCTCCTGGACCTTTCTGGCTAACTGCAGCCTCCGCGGCGGGTCCCGCTGCGGGAATTTCTCTCGGTTTTCTAGTGGTGGCTTTCTGTGTCTCAGAGTTATGGCTGGGCATCTTCCGTAAAGATTTCCGTCCCGCTCATTTGTTGAGTTGCGAATTTATACCCTTATGGGCTCTGGACGCTGCTGTTTTCGGTTCCACTCGAGGCCTGGTGTCCTCTTCTCGCTGGTCCATGTGGGCACCACATTTGCCCTGGGAGTCCCCGCCCCCAGCGTCCTCTCCCTGTTCCCCCCCCATCCTCTCCCCACCCTAGCTGTTCCCGCCCCCGGAGTCCTCTCCCCACCCCTAGCCTGTCCCCACCCCATAGAGAGCTCT